CGTCCAGTTACCACACTGGTCTTATTATACTCCCATGTAATTCACTGTTTGGCGCGTCGTGCACCATCCAATTACATTTTAACTCACCTGCCAATAAACCTGGCATTAATAGTCCTAATTCCAATATGAATCACAGATAAGGGTGTTCACAAACTAAGATCGGTAGTTCTTATGCGAAGGGTCCTAACACACATCTTCACCCATGTCGCGTTTTCCCTCAATTAGTTCCTTTAGCTGTCTATGTACCACACTAACCTTTACCTACCTTCAGTTCGCCCCAGTTCTCGCGAATCTCCAACAAGCCTATTTCAGTTCATCCCCTTCAAAGTTTCCCCTATCAGAAAACGATATCCTGAGATACATAAACCTTTCTATTAACCACCCTTTTTATTAACTTAACATGCACTAATAGCTCTAGATCCGTCGGTACTTATTCTTCAAATAATACTGGCCTACATTTTAACTATCGATCTTTATTTTTTATAAATAACGTCAAGCATAATCTCGCCACTTGAAATACAACGGGTGTCATATGCTGCTTTTCGCTACCTAATTTCCAAATTCACTATTATTTTTTAAAGATCGCAAAACCGCAAGAGAAAGTTATGCATATACTATTACTTATTTTTTGCACCTTATTTGCGTAAATTATCCTTATTTTATTTCAGTGCCTACTTGGTGCTTAGAAATATAGATTTCAAAATGTCAAATCTAGCTTAACTTAAAACCATTGCTTTTGGGCTGACGCCCGATCTTATATGTATAACCATTATGGAATAAGCAATTAAGCTCGGGCTTATGTGTTCCATGGAACAGCAAAACCTATTATCCCATAAACTGCCTTCAATTTTAAGTTTTTATGTTCACAATTAAATGCAAAACTTTGCACATGTTGCCTCAAAAAGACAATTTCTGCTGACATTATTTCTACATCTATTTGCGCACATTTTCAAATTCGTTTTTGAATTTTTTTTTACGAAACTAATTTTGTATGGACAGTGCCATTCTGGCGCTTAAATATATAAATTCCAAATTCCTTTGGGGGCAAGTCCTATGCAACGAACTTACTCCATCTTTTGGAACGTTGGAACCGTGCATTTGATGGAGGAAATCTACCTCATGTAGGCTCTTTTGACTCTACGAAGGCATTCAATATTGCCCACATAAACGGCCCCCACATAAACTCAACTGAACAGGCGTTAGGGAAACGCTTCTGGAGTGGATTCGAAGTCCCTTGTTTGGTCGATCCCAAACTGTCCATGTCGGTGGCCAACAGCCGGCGGAGGCTTCCGTTGAGAGTGGTGTTTTCCAGGGCTCCATTCTTGGCCCTACACTGTTTATTACTTACTCAACGGCTGTGAAATGGATTTTGATGTCGCTATGCTTGCCGAAGATATTTTGCTTTGGAGCTACATTCAAACTGCAGCTGACAAATATTTCTTGTAGACGAACGTTTACCGATTCCAAAAATGGGCAAATGACATACTCTTATCGTTCAATGA